GTTACAAAAAAATTATCTAAATCCTAACCTAAAATAATTCCCCCCTTTTTCTCCTTAAAAAAAAAAAAACTATACCAAATCCTCTGCTATGGTGTTATTTAATATGCAAACTGTATTATTATATATAAATTATTTTTAACTTTCTTTTAAAAAATGACTTTTAAATCCCCCCCCACACACTTATTTATTCATTCAGCAGGAGTGGGACAAGTGTCCTATCAAACATGCGGAGGTCAAAGGACAACTTACAGGGGTCATTCCTGGGTTCCAGACTAGGGCTGGAGGTTCCCCTAGGGACAGTGGTGAGCTGTCTGTCACGTGGGTGAGTCCAGGCCCCCTGAAAGAACAGCCAATGTTTTTAACCACTGAGACTTTGCTTTAGCACATCATTTTCCTAATTTTTGATGATTAAAAAAAAAAAATCACAGCTTCCTAATGCAACCCAGAGACCAGGCTTCAAATTCAACTTCCTGTCGTCACCACCAAAGACTCGTGCCCAGTTTTGTTGCCATGGTAAAGAAGAAGCCTGTGCCAGTCTGAAAATGATGGATGCATTGGCGAATGCTGTAAGGAGCGCAAGGCTGATGTTTTCCATCTGGGTTCACCGTACTGGAGCCGTCCTTAGCCTTGGCCTCTGCTCTCACAGCCTCCGCTGTAGGATTTGCTCCGGGATTTCCTTTCACTGGCCTGGGGTCCTTGGGAGAGAAAAGCTGCTTCCCCCAGAGCAGCGAAACCGCTGTCAGGAAAATCTACTCAAGTTTCGAGGCTTCTATGAACGAGATGTTTTTTTCTGAGCATCCTGGGCGCCCAGGGAAAGAACAGTAAGGTGATATCAGCCTTCTTTCCCAAAGATGAACCTGAGCAGGTCTCCCTTCCTCCAGGTGCCCAGACAGCACACCAGGCCTTCTCCTAGCAGCTGGCTGGCATTATGTCATCGGCTGGCATCACGTCATTGATGTCTAAGGAACAGGCCTGCCCCCGGGGGCTGCAGTGGGAGCGCACGCTATAACAGAATCTCATTTGCTGTGCATGGGGGAGGGGGTTTCAGAAGTCCCCAGAAATTATGAGCTGAAGAATAAGACATGGTCGGATAGGACCAGCCCTCAGGACTTCCCGTCTAAAGCTGGTCGGACGGACAGGAACCTTAGCTGTTCTGCACAGTTGTGATGGACAGGACTTGTAACGCGTGCCCATTTCTTGTGAGGAGGGGCAGAGCCAGTTGCAAATAGCATTTGGTTTCCTCCCTTCCCTTCTCTTCCTCCTGCTGAGCCATGTGATTGAGTTCTGAAAGCAGAAGGCTGGAGGGTTGCTGAGGGAGGGAAGGAGGGATGAGAGGGTGGGCTGAGAGAATAATTTAAATCCCACCTGTGTATATATGTATGTGTATATACACACAGACTACATATAGAACATTTGTGTGTGTATACAGGGGCATTGGTGGTCAGATCCGGGGCCTTGTACAAGCTAGGCAAGCACTTTAGACTAAGCTACACCCAGCCCTATGTAGGTATATTTTACTCTTATGCTCTTCATTTGGAAAGATACCGGGGGGTGCGGGACTGAGGAGACGGCTCAGCGGCTCAGCGGCTAAGAGCCCTGAGTACTCTTCTTAGAGGACCTGGGTTCAGTTCACAGCACCTACATTGGCGGCTCGTAACCATCTATACCTACAATCCTGGGTAGGGGATCCGATGTCCTCTTCTGGTTCCCGTTGATACCAGGCATGCATGTGATACCCAGACATACTTGCAGGCAAAACACCCATACATATAAAAAAAAATTTTTTTTTTTTTTTCATTTTAAGAGACAGGGTTTCCCTGTGTAGCAGTGGCTGTCCTGGAACTCACTCTGTAGACCAGGCTGTCCTTGAACTCAAGATCCACCTGCCTCTGCCTCTGCCTCCCAAGTGCTGGGATTAAAGGTTTGCACCACAACCCAGCTATAATAAAATACATACTTTTTAAAGGTATTAAGAACTGAGTGGTAGAGTTATTTAGCAAACAACTTCAGGCCTTCTGTTTGTGTGTGTGTCTGTCTGTCTGTCTCTCTGTCTGTCTGTTTGTATGGAGGCCAGAGGGCACAGAGGAGAATCTCATCACCGTCACTAATTTTTGTGTTTGAACAGAGCCTCTCACTGCCTGGAGATTGACAAGTAGAACAGTCTGGCTGGCCTGAAAATCCCAGTGAACTCCCTACCCCTCAGCCTTCTCAGAACTGGGTCATAATCCGACACCACCAAGCCCAGCTGTTTGTGTGGTGTGTGTGTGTGTGTGTGTGTGTGTGTGTGTGTGTGTGTGTGTGTGTGTGAATTCTGGGGATCAAACTCACAGGCATTAGCTGCCTGTTCTATTATCTGGGCCCAACCTTGGGTCTTTGGTAAATTTGATTTACCAGTGGCTGGAACTTGGACCTCAGCTCTCACTAAGGCTTGAAAGGGCAGGATGATGGACTCCTCTTGCTGCTGTCCTTTTTACACAGTGGCAGAGACCTGTACAGCAGCCCTCGGGCCCTCCAGTGGTTTTATGGGTGTGTGGAATTGCGGTCTTAAAGTCCTTGGACCGCTATCTCTTAAATTAGGCCCAAGGGCAGCACTGGGTACTTCCAGGGTCTAGGGCGTTCAAAGTAGGTGCTAAATTCCTGTTCCTACTGGGTTCTTGAGGCTAGGAAATGCAAGACCGTGAGCATCTTTTGAGGACCTTCCTGCTTCTGGATGAAGGCTGATGCCATCCTGTAGTAAGACAGCAAGTGTGTAAGGGGAAACTGACTTTTTACACGAAAGCTGCCTGCCCCTTTGATAACCCAGAAGGGAATTCCAGTGACCTCATCAGCCTCCACTGTCACTCCAACCAGGGCACCCAGTTGTGACCCCCAGAACATGTGAGGTTTGCGTGCCACCTCAAAGCAGGGGCGCCTACTGAATTCCTCCCAGATTCTAGTTTGTCACCTGGCCACACATTTCAACTCTTCCTTGTCTAAAATCTAAATGCAGCCCAGGAAACTTTAAAAAGCTCTCTCTTTTTTTTTTTTTTTTAAGGGCAAGTCATTATATTTTGAATCCAGACAAATCTCAAATTACAATCTGTCTAGTTTTTGTTGTTGTTGGGGCTTTTGGTATTTACCGCCAAACATACTGAGATTTGAGTTGAAACTGTTCCAGACTTGGTATTGTCGGATTTGTCCCACAGCACACAAGTCGCCCTGTCCCCAAGTGCAGCTCTCAGCTGAGTTCTACGTAAACATTCCTGCTGAAAACAATCCAGGTGACTTAACAATGATCTTTATTTAGCCCCGCGGAGGCCTCTCCTTATCCAGCCCTGAAGGATGGTTTCATTGGTTGGTCTAAGCCCTTGGTTTATCAGCTCCAATGGCCTGGAAACCCCTTAGACCCAAATATTTGGGATGAGCAGGGCTAGCTTAGGAATTCCAAGAAGGCAGAATCAAGATAGCCAACTGCCAAAGCTCACAGACGTGGAATGGAACGAATTTCAAAACCCAACTCTTCTGCTTGGCCGGAATGTGCGTCCAGCCTGCCTCATTGAAGACAGGTGTACCTGGTAAATGTGTGTTGCCCTTAAATCTTGCTTCTTGGCGTATCTCTGTGGACAGTAAGGGCAATAGACGTTGCAGTCTTCAAAAGCGTTGACTCTCTCTGGGACCACAGAAATTCAACTTTGTCTTGTGTGTCTGAGACTGTATTGAGTCTGTCTTTTATAGTCTGAGAAATTCTTTCATGAACGTGACATCATTGCCTCTTAGCTTATATACTATGTCATCCAACAGAGCTGTTTTATAAGGGAAACTGGTAGATGGAGCCAGGCTTTGATAGCTTCCAGACTATACATCTAGGCAGGCTCTGGATACCTGGCAGCCGGTTGGTTTTTAGAAGAATCTACCTTGGGGACTAATAAATTAGAGGCTTAAATACCTAAGGATGCTGCATCTTCGTTTAGTTTAGAGAAAGCCACTGGGTTAATGACATCAGGAAAGAGCACATAGAACTGATTTGTGGCAGAGTCATGCTCGAGGCATCTCTGCAACATGGCACAGCATCCAATTAGAGCTTCAGAATGCTCGCTGTATTACTACTTGAAATTGGGTTGCTTTCAGGCAGGGTCATGCATGTCTGTAATTCCAACAGTTGCAGGTGGAGGCTGGAGACAGAGTGGGAGCCAGCCTTGGCTGGCCATGCAACTTCTGCCACCCACAACACTAATTGGGTTGCCTTGTTGACCTCACTTAATATGTAAATTAACTTCAGGGTACTTAGTGGAAGCTATATATCTTTTTAACATTATCTTTGTTTGTATCCTTGTGTGAGATATGTGTATTGGTGTTGGGGGGAGGGGACGCTGCCTCGTGTACCATGGCACTTGTGTGGAGGTCAGAGGATGACTTTGTGGAGTTGGTTCTGTCGCCCTTCAACTTCTATGTGAGTTCCAGGGATTGAACTCAGGCCAATAGGCATTTGCCAGAAGCCCTATCTTTTCCCAAAGTACTGGTCAGGTTTTAATATTAACTGTTGTAATTTAAAAAGTGGTGCAAGAAAGAAAGATGCCATGCATGGAGTTAGGTAATTGTTTGTTTGATTTTGTTTTGTTTTAGGGGAAAAGGAACGTACAAAGGGGAAAGGGGAGAAGGGAAACTGACCTCTGGGAACAGGAGCAGCAGAAGAGAAGAGAGAGGCCAGGGGTGAAAGGGATGGGGGTAGGGGACAGAGAGAGACGGGCAGAGAAGCAGAGAAAGAGAGAAAAGAACAGAACAGCCAGAGAGAGAGAGAAAGAAAGAGACAGGAGGTGGGCAAGGCGGCCCACCTTTTTTTTTTTTTTTTTTTTTCCCCCCTATTTACTCTTTGATAATTTCATGATTTAGATACCTTGCTTATATCTACCTCAACTCCTCCTTTCCACTCCCTCNTTTTTTTTTTTTTTTTTTTTCCCCCCCGAGACAGAGTTTCTCTATGACAGGCTTTGGAGCCTGTCCTGGAACTAGCTCTTGTAGCCCAGGTTTGGCCTTGGAACTCACAGAGATCCACCTGTCTCTGCCTCTGGAGTGCTGGGATTAAAGGCATGCACCACCACTGCCTGGCAAGGCCTACCTTTTATAAAGAAGCCTTAATATTGAATGTGCACAGGAGGTGCTCTTAGTGGCTGCAGCTGAGGATGTAGCCTGTTAGGACACCAATGGCAGGGCAGTACAAATGCCTGCATCCTAACACCAGCATCATATGAGGGCTGGACATGGTGGCACACACCCTTAACTCCAAAACTAGGGAGGCAGATGCAGGAGGAGCTCTGTGAGTTCAGACCAGCCGAGGCTAAGGCAACTTAATGAGACCCTGTCTTCTTTATGTTTATGAAACAGGGTCTCACTTTGTAGCCCTGGCTGTCCTAGATCTCACTATGTAGACCAAGCTGCCCTACAACACACAGAGATCCATCCTGCCTCTGTTTCCTGAGTGCTGGAATTAAAGGTATGTCCCACAGCCCCAGAAGTGAGACCTGTTCTTATTTTTTATTTGCTTTTGGTTTTTCAAAACAGGGTTTCTCTGTGTAACAGCTCTAGCTATCCTGAAACTTAGCTCTGTAGACCAGGTTGGCCTCGAACTCACACAGATCAGCCTGCCTCTGCCTCCCAAGTGATGGGATTAAAGGCGTGTGCCACAACCACCTGGTTCCATCACTGTCTTCGAGTCATTTTTTATTTGTTGCTGTTCCATAGATTTATCTATCTGCCTGCCTATCTATCTATCTATCTAGAGACAGGGTCTAATGTATCCCAGGCTCAGTCAAACTCACTATGTACCTGAAGATGGCTTTAAACTTCTGATATAGATCCTGCTTCTACCTACAGACTTGAGACACTAAGCGTGGTTAATCTGTGCCAGGGCAAGAACCCAGGCCTTCGTATATATGAGGCAAGCACTCTACCAACTGAGCTATATTCCAACCCTTTCACAATTGTTTTAGAATGAAATATGCTATAGGAAGCATTTGTTGATCAAGCAAGCAATCCAGACACATAATCCCAAATCCCCACTCAAGCCTTGTTCTGCATTCTATGATTATAGACACCGTGACATGACCCAACAGCTTTAAGTGTTTGAGCAACTATCAAGTGGTTGCCTCTGTATAATTTACCCCTGATGAATGCTGGCTTTCCTGGCAAACGTGAGGTAGTCTGCTTTGGAGGAGGGAAATGGGTCCAGCACCTTGTCTTCTGCGATGGAGAGCTTGTTGGGATGATCCAGGGTATCTGTAAAGTTAGAGCCTCATCCCTACCGATGACATCCATCTGTGACTATTGCCTGGGAGATCAGAGCCGGAAGCCAGACGTGCAGAGAGAGCTTTTATCCTGGAAAAAGTAGTTTTGGGGGTGGGAGAATGGTGCTGGCCTCAGTGGGAAGGACTGAACCTCTCTCTAACCGCTTTATGGCTGATGTCACTATTGCTGGGGCTTATGGAAGGCTGCAAGGAATGAGACAAAGGGAAGAGTCCCTTGCTAACTGTATGCACGGAGGAGGATGCCATTGGGAATAGAGTGGGAACGGGTGCTTAGTGTTCTCTCTGAGCCAGAGCAATTCCTACATGGCAGGCGTGTTGAGATCACCTGTGCCTATCCCAGGAACAGCAATTTGTAGGGCTAGGGAAAGGGGGGGGGGGAAGAGTGCCTGCTGTGAACGATCAGAGAGGTCTGAAGGACAAAGACTCTGTTGCTCTCTGTGTGTGCAAGCACTTGGACACCGTGTGTGCACACAGGCATCCACCAACTCCCCAGGAATTGGATCTCCAGTCCGGTTCTCAAGTAAATGGTTTGTTTGTTAAAAGGAGACCTGCTGTCTCGAATAGGAAACACTCAGCTCCAGCAATTAGCCCTCAGGGTGAGTGACCCCCCCCCCCAGTGTCTCTCCCACTGTTTTGTAGAGCAGGAGTTTCCTAAAGGGGGGTAAATCATCAATTAACCCTAGGCTAGGGTAAACTGAAAATAGACTCCTCAGGGAAGGAATTATCTCGAAATTGTGAGCCCTGATTGACATTATCTGGGGACCAATTCTTCTGTAGGGACTTAATCCCCATCCAAGCCGGCTGATAACAAAGACGTGAAAACATTCTAGTGACTTGGCTTAAAAGTGGGTTTTAGAAAGGCTCTTGACCTTTGGAGGCTGCCGTAAAGACCGTGGGTTTCCTTTCAAAATAAGCCGCCATTTAATTTCCCTTAAAATGATTAGTTATAATTCTATTAAATTGTTAGGTTTAAAATTTTTCCTTTAAGAAGAGAGCTATCTATTTTGTGATGGCATTTTGAAATAATACTGTTATTAGTTAAACACATTGCACATGAGGTGTACGTGTGTTTAAGATCTGCAAGTTAAATGAGTAAAATGTTTTTTGTTGTGGTTTGTCTTCTGCTGCTAGGAGCCTGGGAGTCATGGCAGGTGTGAAATGCTGGTGTTTAGGAAGTGCCTTGTTGAGCTGGGACTTAACTGCAATAATGCATTCAAATCATTTTACCGGCAGTCTTTCCCCGTATGTCTGTGATGAGATAGATAAACCCGGTTGCCTGGCTTCTATGTCCTTCACAGAGGTTTCGGAAGCCATGACCCATTGTGTTGCATGAGTGCAGAGCTCTGGTTTTTGAGTGGTGAGCGTGTGTTTTGGAGACAGTGCCGGCTACCACACAATGATGTGGCTACATCTGACATCACTGGGTGGTCCATTTTAAATGCTTACAACAGCAACTAGGTTGTGCTGTATTGCACCGCGGTTTTATTTATTTATTTTTTAAATGATTTATTTTTATCTTCTGTGCATGGGTGTTTTGCTTGCATGCATGTCTGGGTGAGGGTGTCAGATTCTCTGGAGCTGGAGTTACCGACAGTTGTGAGCGGCCCTGTGGGTGTTGGGAATTGAACTCGGGTTCCCTTTAAGAACAGCCAGCGCACTTAACCACTGGGCCATCTCTCCAGCCCTGCACCAGTTTTTTGTTTGTTTTGTTTTGTTTTTGTTTTAAGTATATGAAAATTATACCCCCACCCGATTTTTTTCCCTCTACAGTCATGCAGACTTTACTGTGGAGTGCCAGGAGAGAAGTCTAACACGGAGTGTATCTTTGATGGGGACTTAAAAACGATCCTTTAAATACCACCTGGTAATTGGAGTAATTGACCTGCCATTGGAAAGCTTGCAGAATGTCATCAGAACTTCAGAAACCTCCAGAGGTCAAAGGTTATGGTCAGGCTGGGGAATTTTAGGCCTTCAAGGAAGCACAAAGTCTGGAAGAGGCCTCCTTAGCCCTAGAGGACGAGAGTGACAGCCCCGACTATGACTGATGGAAACATTTGCAGAAGATAACTCTATCCACGGGGACCATCTGCCCTAACCTGGCAGACTCTAGAAAGACCTGCAGGCTGTGGTGAAGCAGATGCTCTGACACAGGGAAGCGGCTTTGACTGCTCCTTCTGAGCGGAGGGGAGGGGCTCACACAGCAGTGGGAGGGGCCAGAGAGAGGACGACTCAGGAAAGGCGGTAAAAGGGTGGCCGCGCCGTAATTTTTTTTTGGGGGGTGGTGGTGGTGGTGTTTTATTTAGGTTTGGTTTGAGTCTACATTTAAAGAGAAAAAGAAAACAATACGATATGATTTAGAAGTTCAATTTCTGGACTCACGGCTAAGGTACGGAAGGAGCCTGCTTAAGAGATGTCCGTCCTCAGTGTTCACAGCAACAGCATCCGGAACAGCAGGACCAGAGCCAACCTAAATGTCCCTTTGCGGGTGAATAGAGAAAGGTGGTGCCACGTACTGTGTGTTCTCACTCACAGGTGAATATAAAAAACTCACCCAAGTGGAGGAAAGCGGAAGTTACAGCGGAGTCCCATGGGGTTTGAGGTGGGGAATTCAGAATGCAAAGTCGGCCCATCACCCATCTCTAAAATTTACTTTTTACGGGGGTACCGGTCTGTAAGCTCAGCTGTTTGGGAGGGAGGATGAGGGGAAGATGGTGAGTTGTAGACATATGTGGGCTATAAGGTCTGGATTATTTAGCAAGACCCCATCTGCCGATGAAAATTACAAAATGGGCTGTGGGCCGGGCACTGGTGGCGCACACCTTTAATCGCAGCACTTGGGAGGCAGAGGCAGGAGGAGCTCTGTGAGTTTGAGGCCTATTGGGTCTACAGAGCAAATCCCAGAACAGGCAGAAAAACCCTGTCTCAAACAACAACAACAACAACAAAAAGACTATGGTTGTAGTTCAGAAGAAGCTCTAGGTTTGGTCTGCAGAACACGCACACGCACATATGAGTAAAAAAAAGAAAAAAGAAAATCCCAAGTTGAGTCAGTGTAAGGCAGGAAGTCTAAACGGCAAAGCAGCATTCAGCTGCAGAAACATTTTCAGTCCCTACAGCTACCCAGCACCTCACAGCTTGAACTGTTTGTAGGTTGTGTTCCCGAGACACCAAGCCCCTGCTACCCTGGCCACAGCAATTTCCTGCTCTTAGATCCCCCCCAACCCCCCACTACCTCTGTCCTGTCTGTTTGGGGAGAGGTCCATATCCGGAATGGCCTTGCTGTTCCAAGATCTGTAGCTATTGTACTGGAACCTGTGTACAAGACAAACAGACATTCTTGGGAGGGGCTCCTACACTATCTGGAGAATTCCAAGCGCTCAGCTGGAGGAAACTCACCTAGAGTGTCCGGGACGTTGAGAATGCCAGGCATCCTGAGGGTTGGGTGGCCGAGCACTTTTCTCGTAGCTGAGGCTTGGTGAAGGGTCTCCGGTTGTTTGTGTGCAGGGTCCTGCTGCAGCCTGAGAGATCAGTTTTCTCCTTCTGCTGTTCCTAGGGATGCAACCGAGATCATCAAGTTTGACTCCAGGTGCCTTTACCTGCTTAGCCATTTTGTTGGTGTTCTAGTTGGTTCTTTATTCTTTGTTTTTGTTTTTGAGACAAGGTTTCCCAATCTCTCAAAACTCAGAATTCACTATGGAGACCAGGCTGGCCTTGAACTCACAGGCATCCTTGCCTCCCTAAAGTCTTTTTGTTTAAAGGTTTCTTTTTATGAATATTTTGCCTGTGTGTATGAGTGTGCACCATGCACAGGCCCGGTGTCCACAGTATCAGATTCAGACAGTTGTGAGCCCCCATATGGGTGCTGAGAACTGAACCCCAGTCCTGGGCAAGAGCAGCAAGTGCTTTTAACCCATTTCTCCTGCCCCCTCCAGTTTATTCCTTATCAAGCCATGGCTTACCATGTGTTGCGGGGCAGCAGACAGAGGGGTGCCAATGTACATCTCTCCCTAACAGACTCTGGAGAGCAGACAGAGCTTGGCTTAGTTCTCTCTGCTCTGCCTGAACTTGCTTTGTGTCTTTGGGCAAAGTACTTGAGCTCTGAGCTTTCGTGTCTTTATCTGTGAGTTGGGGATTAGCATACCTTACCTAGCTGCTAGAATGTAAGACCGTGCTTGTCAAAGGCTAGCAGATTGCCCACACAGTGCAGGCATCAGGCTAATAACTGTTCCATTATTCCTATGTGTACCATTTGTTTTCTGTAATGCCAATACCCATGCCCCCACACATACACACACATGCACACACACACACACACACACACACACACACACACACACACACACACGGTGGGTGGTGGTATTAATTCTAGGGACCATTTAGTGTGTACATTTCATCTGTGTTGATGGAGCACTGCTTTCTGGACTCCCACATAGGATTTGCCTACCTTATTAAATCTCTTTAGAATATTTCTAATTTTTTGTCCCCCCCCCCCAATATTTCTAATTTCTAATACCCGACAAGCTGTGAATGCTGTGTAACGAGATGGTCTAATGTGTTGTTTTAGGGACTAACACGTGGATAGAGTTTGTGCCTGCTTGGTCCCAGCCCAGCGTTCTGGTGCCTTTCCAGTTATGCTTGGTTGAAGCCATTCACAGGGAACTAGACCGATGTCGGGCTGACTGTAGATGGTGAAGGAGAAACGGGATCCAGTAGCCAGTCCTGCTGGTTAGATGAGCTTCAAGTTCAGGTTGCCCCAGTTTCTACTTTTACATGTAAAAGAGTTAGCGGCTGAAGGCCCTGAGCCAGGTTGTCTTGCCTCCCGCTTCACCATTCATTCAGCCAAAGCCTTTGGACAAAAAAAAATTCTCTGAACCTAACTGGGCTGGGTGTTTTAAGGAACTGATGTGATTATGTGTGAAAATCTTGTCTGGTACCTGGTGTGTCACAGATAATAAAGGTTCTGATCACCCGCTCACCAGCCTTGGCTAACACCTCTGGGGACTCTGGGCTATTACGTCACTTCTCCAGTTTGACAGGGGACCCCACCCCCACCTCCTGTCGCCAGCTACTGTACACTGGCTTCTTCATTCAGCTGTATCACGCAGGCTTCTGCTCCAGTTAGGAAGTTAGGCTTTGGGAGGCCTGCAGTGGGAGCCCTGTGAAGAAGGCCTGTTTCTCATGTATTCCTTTGCTCTTTCTGGCTTTCAAGCACTGTGGGAAGATCAGGAGGCAACTCATGCTTGAGGACCTCATTGTGAGGGCCCGGCCTTTCCTAGTCAGGAGTCCTTAGCTCATCCTCGAGGTGACCTTATAAGGTCAGCGCGTTCACTTCCCATTCCTGCTCTGACAAACCACGGCAGTCACGGTGACTTCCAGCATTGCAGGGGTATGTGCTGCTAGCCCTGGAGGAAACGAAGCCTGGCCGGTGCTCCTGGAGGCTCTGAGGGGAATCTGTCCATCCGTTCCCCTCCCCCCCCCATTCCCAACTATTGACCGCTGTGGCTGAATACTCTTGGCTTGTAGATGCCTGACTCAGGACTCAGCCTCCGTTTTTCCCATGGATCCCCCATCTTGTGTCACTATGTCATCTCTTACAAAGGTGACTCTTTGTGATATGACCTCATAGTAGCACGCTACATCTGCAGAGACCCTGTTTCCATATAAGGTGATGATCTGGAATTCTAGTTGGATATGGATTTGGGGAAACATGATTCAGCTCTCAACTGTCATTCTTCTAAAAGTTATATTCGTGTGTGTGTGTGTGTGTGTGTGTGTGTGTGTGTGTGTGTGAGAGAGAGAGAGAGAGAGAGAGAGAGAGAGAGAGAGAGAGAGAGAAAACCCATTCCATGGTGAGTACTCAGGTCAGAGCACAGATGTCAGGAGTTGGTCCTCTTCTTGCATCCTGAGTTCTAGGGATCAAGCTCAGGTTGTTAAGCGACTGAGGACCAGCTACCTCACTAGCCCCAAACCACGCAGTCTGAAGCCCATTTAGCAGAGGAGGATCCACCCACCAAGGAGCATATGCTTCACCCTGTCAGAACAGCACTGTTAGGTGGACATCTGGACTTGCCTGGAGATTTGTTTTCCTGTCAGAGTGACTTGGACCTGAGGTCTGCTGGCTGCAGTCTGGCTTTGCTCCCTGTGCTTGGAGCTTTGAGGAAACTTGAGGATTCTGAGCAGGAATTGTGAGCGCTAAGGGAGGAGAAGGTTAAACGCATCTAATACCTACTGTCTGATCTGTTTCCCATCTTTGCTCCCCTCCGAGTCTCCTAAGGATCCTGGACCTTCGGGCCCTACTGAAGGCCAGGAACCGAATGGTGTAGGCACGAACTGACACTGGGCCCTGGGTTTGGGATTGCCAAAGGGCAATGTCAGTCAGTCTCAGTTCCTGGCTTCACTTTAAACATTAATCGCATTAATAAATACTGTAATAATTAATAGACACATAATAACACTAACAGAAGGATATAGCCTTTGCTCACAGAAGACTAGATTTAGGAAGCCCAAAATATTATTTTTGAAAGTTCACGCAAAGCTTTGACATATTTCACAAAAAACAAGAAAGTTGACTCCAAATCTATAAACTTGAGTGGAGTCTCTCTCTGTGTGTATATGTGTGTGTTTTAGGTGGATTAGAAAGTTACTAGATTGATTGACCAGTGCTTTTGAGTGGAGAAGGTGGGAAAGCCATTTTATTTTGAGACAGAATCTCACTACGGAGCCTCAGCTGGCTTTGAATTCATGATCCTCTTACCTCAACCTCCTGGGTGCTGGGATCACTCCTGTGCCATGGAACCAGCTAAAGGTTTTTCTTTGGAATAATAAATCTTGGTCCCAAATCTTTATTTGGCCGTTCAGATCTTGGGAAACTTGTCAATGGGGCTTTCCTAAGACAGTCTGTGACATAGTTCATAAAATTAAATTCTGTGACATTTGACTCCCAGGGAAGAATTTAGTTACTCAGAGTATTGCTCAACTTTTCTGGGAAAAGGGCAGCTCATGAAAGGGAAATGTCTACGACAGCCCAAGTTGCTTATCTTCTGTGAAGAAGGGAGATTATGTTGTCCTGCAGCTGTGGAGAGGGGAGGAGAGTCTGAGCCTATGACAGCATTGTTCAAGAGTTTACTGGACACGGAAGGCTAAGCCGGGATAACATTGGTTCATCCCGAGTCAAGGCCACACTGCTGGATGAGTACATCATGAAATCAAGGGAAAAGAGAAATGGCTCAAGGGCGATCGAGGGAACAGAGAAATGGCTCATTGAGGTAATAATCTGTTGTGCAAAGCATGAGGACCTGAGTTCAAATCCACAGCATCCCTGAAGAAGCTAGTTGGGTTACTCAGACCTGTAACCCAGTGCTGGGGGTGAGGGTTGTCAGGGACCAGAAAATCTCTAGGCTTGCTGGCCATTTAGTTAGAGACCTGAAAACATGGTGGAATGGGCTAGAACAAGACACAAAAGGCCCTCCTGGCCTTCTATACACACACTTTGGCATTCCCCCCTACTTTCTGGCACACATATCAGATACACAGAAGCTTGTGCACACACGCACACACAGACATAAACCCAAACAATGATAAATAAAGCCAGGTGTGTAGCACGTGCCTCTATTGCCAGCACTTGGGAGGTGCAGGCGTGAGTTTCAGGAATTTAAGCTCACTGTAAGCTTCTTCTGACTTCACCTCTCCACCTCCCAAGTGTTGGCGTTCCAGATGTGTGCCATAGCATCTGGCTCTGTTTTTATCTTTATGTACTTCATCCTTTTTTCAGACAATAATAAATATATGCACATGTGAAACATGAAAATCTGAAGGTGAAGCGAAGGAGCGAAGACAGAGGGTTGCTTGGGTCTCCATTCCAAAGAAAACCATTGTTATCAGGAGCCGTGTATGCCTGCACATGTAAAAATAAAAATGTCTTCAGCGAGGCACTGGTGACTCATACCCATTGTAAATAGAATGTTTACAGGGAGCAGAATAAAATCCTTCCACCAAAGTGATAAAGTTCTGCCAAGGGGTGTGTCTAAGATGAAGCTCATCTTTCTTCCAGGGACTCAACTTCTCTCTTGGTAAAAGTATCCCTAACCCATGTTAGAGGCTGCAGCCACTGTCTCTGCGCTCTCTCTCTCTCTCTCTCTCTCTCTCTCTCTCTTACACACACACACACACACTTTCAGTCTACACCAAATCACCAAATGATCTCACCTTTGCGCCCTGTTTATGCTGATATTGCAGAATTGTGGAATGGATTTTGTGGGTTTCCCTTGATTCCCTTACTACACAGTCCAGAAAACATTGACTCCCAGAGAGGAGGGACAGCATCAGGCCTGGGGTTCAAGGCAGCTTGCTGCCGGTATTGCTCATGCTTTAAAGATGTTCCTCTCGCTTCTTCCTTGGTAGCGCTGAGACTTCCTGCATCTGCCTTCCTCCCCTTCTGTAGCCTGCGGAGGCAGAGCTCTGTCCCGTGGGTTGGGTTGTAGACTCTAGCCAAAGCTCTGTTATTGACTAGCTTTTTGTCTCTGGGGACGGAAACCATTCTAGGGAGTGGTAGCCACCACGAGCTGGGGTGTTCCTCTTTTTAGAGGGGTCTAGTGATAGACGAGATAGAAGGTGTCTAAGGAAATGTGACACCCACCTGGCACACACTGTTAGGCAAATACATGCTTGCCGGGTAATGAGGATTTATGGTACCAGCTGTCTTCAAATGCACCTGCTGGGTCTTCAGATTTTGCACTTGGCTTCTCAACTGTGGTGGTTAACACTGGCTGTCACCTTGATCTAGACTCACCTGGGAGCCAAACCTCTCAGGACATCCGTAAGGAAGTGTGTAAGATTGGGTTTGAAGTGTGTAAAAACTTACCCTCTGTGTGGGTGGCACAATCTTATGGGCTGGGGTCCTAGACAGAATGACAAGGAGAAAGCAGACTGAACGCCGCTCTCTGCTTTGGACTGTGGGCACAGTGTGGCCAGCTGCCTTCTGTTAGTGCACCCCGACTTTCCCACTGTGAAGGGCTGTCTCCTACAACTGTAGGCAGAGTAAGCCCCCCCCTTCCTTTAGCTTCTTTTCAAAG